ATTTATACCGGCGATAAAAACGCTCTCCCGAGATGTCGATGTCGGATGTATAATTCGATGCGATCCGACGTAATCTCTCCCTATAGGCGTCGGGCCGGATTTGTTCCACCAGGTCCCCATTGTCTGTGCGCAGCGGCGCGGTGCATTCGCAGGAAACGTTTTTGCGCGCCCCCCCTCATTGCGACTCACAGCTGTGATCGTTCTAATTAGAGGCAGGAGCGGTGACCCCTACAAATCCTGGAGGGCCCCCCCCCCCCCTCCTCCGCTTCTTCCCCACCCCTCCCCCGCTGTGACAGCAGTGTTGCTGTGTCATCCAATTCACTCCAGCGATTTTCTTCACGGGAACGCGGCGGCCTGAAATGAGGACATCAGGAATAATTAGGTACTCCGAGGCCTCCCTGGAGGAAGCTGGGCTGGAGGGCTAAGTTGTTTCTGGAGTTTTTAATGGCAGAGTTATGTAGATGTCTCTATAGAACACATTCGGGTCCATTTATCTCCCGTAATGAAACCGGTTTTTGTCTTCCGATTGCCTCGTGTATGTTTGCACACCCTGTTAAATTCTGTATTGGAGCAGCAGCAGCACCACGGCACCACCCTGCGGCGTTAAAAATGGTTAGGCGGCTAAATGGTTAGCCCTTCTGCCTGGCAGTACTGGGGTCTTGGTTCAAATCCCAACCACGGCACCACCTGCCTTGAGTTTGCATGTTCTCCCTGTGCCTGTGTGAGTTTCCTTCGGGTATATAGGAGAAATTCCCACTCTCCAAACACATGCTGGTAGGTGAATTGGATCCTGTCTAAATTGGCCCTAGTATGTGTATGAATGTACGTTAGCGCCCTTAGATTGTACACTCCTCGTGGGCGGGGACTGATGTGAATGTATTATTATTATTATTATATAGTATTTATATAGCGCCAAAGGGTTTGCTCAGCGCTGTACAGTAGCGAGGGGGACAGAACATGAGACAAGACAGTAACAATACGATACACGAGGGGTTCGAGGGCCCTGCTCTTTCGAGCTTACAATCTAGGAGGGTTGGTGTCAGTGGGAGGAATGGCGTCCCATCGTTGGTGTCAGTGGGAGGAATAGTGCCCCATCATTGGTGTCAGTGGGAGGAATAGTGCCCCATCATTGCTGTCAGTGGGAGGAATAGTGCCCCATCATTGGTGTCAGTGGGAGGAATAGTGCCCCATCATTGGTGTCAGTGGGAGGAATAGTGCCCCATCATTGGTATCAGTGGGAGGAATAGTGTCCCATCATTGGTGTCAGTGGGAGGAATAGTGCCCCATCATTGGTATCAGTGGGGGAATAGTGCCCCATCATTGGTGTCAGTGGGAGGAATAGTGCCCCATCATTAGTATCAGTAGGAGGAATAGTGCCCCATCATTGCTGTCAGTGGGAGGAATAGTGCCCCATCATTGGTGTCAGTGGGAGGAATAGTGCCCCATCATTGGTGTCAGTGGGAGGAATAGTGCCCCATCACTGGTGTCAGTGGGAGGAATAGTGCCCCATCATTGGTGTCGGGGAGGAATAGTGCCCCATCATTGGTGTCAGTGGGAGGAATAGTGCCCCATCCTTGGTGTCAGTGGGAGGAATGGCGTCCCATCCTTGGTGTCAGTGGGAGGAATGGCGTCCCATCGTTGGTGTCAGTGGGAGGAATAGTGCCCCATCATTGGTGTCAGTGGGAGGAATAGTGCCCCATCGTTGGTGTCAGTGGGAGGAATAGTGTCCCATCGTTGGTGTCAGTGGGAGGAATAGTGCCCCATCATTGGTGTCAGTGGGAGGAATGGCGTCCCATCGTTGGTGTCAGTGGGAGGAATGGCGTCCCATTGTTGGTGTCAGTGGGAGGAATGGCGTCCCATTGTTGGTGTCAGTGGGAGGAATGGCGTCCCATTGTTGGTGTCAGTGGGAGGAATGGCGTCCCATCGTTGGTGTCAGTGGGAGGAATAGTGCCCCATCATTGGTGTCAGTGGGAGGAATAGCGCCCCAAAAGCCAGGTAAAGGCAATCAAAGGGCCACATCTGGCCCCCGAGCCACAGTTTGGGGACCACTGGTCTTGGGTGCCAGGGTAAATGTTGGTGATTTCCTGATTCCTGAGTGTTTCCTGGCGCTGACCCCGTGCTTTTCTTTTTCTTTTTTTTTTTACTTTTTTTTTTTTTCTTTACCCAGGGCCGTTGCTGGTCAGTCCTGCGAAGTTATGAAGACTTCCAAGACTTGGACTCCAATCTCCACCGCTGCATATTCGACCGACGCTTCTCTCAGCTGCTGGAACTGCCCCCTCGCCGAGAACTACCCTCCCACGGGCAGGTGAGAGTCGCATGATATCGCTGCCAGGCTGCTTCCATACAGAAGTTTGAAAGCATTAACGATGTGCAGCAACTTACCGTAACTTCCCACATGGAAGGAAAATATATTTTAAATACATTTTTAAAATATTCTTCCCGAATATATTGACATATGTTTGAAATACTACAATTTTGGCCGTATTCAATATATATATAAAAAAAAATAATAAAATGTTGAAATGCTTCTTTTTTTATATGCTACAAAATTATTTGAGAAATATGTAAAAAAAATCAATCTTCAAATATACTGTATGTCTTTAAAAGTACAAATCTACATTTTTGGAATGCATTTACAGATGTATGTACAGATATGTTAAAATGACTTTTTTATATGTTAACAAAAACTGAAGATTCTATTTAAAAAATATATATATATTTTTAAGAATATTTTTCATATAGTTTGTAGTGTATAGAAAATGCAATTCAACATGCAGTGTGTGTGTGTGTGTATGTATGTGTGTATGTATGTATGTGTGTGTGTTGTGTGTGTATGTGTTTATGTTGTTTGTGTGTGTGTGTGTTGTGTATATATATATATTACACACTGCATGTTGAATTGCATTTTATATATAGTAAAAAAATATATGAAAATATATTTTTTAAATATTTTTCATATATTCTGTTTTATATATAAAATGCAATTCAACATGCAGTGTGTGTGTGTGTGTTTATGTATGTATGTTTGTGTATATATATGTATGTATGTATGTATGTATTGTATATATGTATGTATGTATTGTATGTATGTATATATATATATATATATATATATATATATATATACATACACACACACACACACACTGCATGTTGAGTTGCATTTTATATATACTACAAAAAATATATGAAAAATATACATTTTTTTAAATATAATCTTCAGATTTTTTTAACATATAAAAAAGTCATTTTAACACATTGGTTCATATATCTGTAAATGCATTCCAAAAATGTAGATTAAATGTATTTTTAAAGACATACAGTATATTTGAAAATGGATTTTTTTTAATATTTCTCAAATATCTTGTAGTATATATATAAAAAAAAAAAAAAAAAATTTTCAACATGAAGTGTGTGTGTGTGTGTGTATAATATATACACACAGGGGCGGACGGACAACTCATGGGGCCCCCGGGCAATAAGGGATCATGGGGCCCCTGTGTCCTTGCCCACACTCAAAAAAGCCTATGAAAAAGGTACCAGGGGCGTCTCATGGGGCCCCCTACTGACCCTGGGCCCTCGGTTTCCAAATGGTCAGTCCGCCCCTGTATGTTGTAATGTATGTATGTAACAAATGTTGTATATGTATATATATATGTATATGTATGTATATATATATATATATATATATATATATAATATATAATATATATATATATATATACATAATACACACATACACTTTATGTTGAAATTCTTTTTTTTTTAATATATATATATATATATATGTGTGTGTGTGTGTGTATGTGTGTATATATATATATATATATATTATATATATAAATATTAATATATTTATATATATATAATATATATATATATATATATATAATAATAAATATAATATATCATTTTTTAATATATTGAATACAGCCAAAATTGTAGTGTTTCAAATATATGTCAATATATTTGGGAAGAATATTTTTAAAATCTTTTTTTTCTTCCATGTGGGTTCACCTAAATGTTTTCAGTGAAGGGTGACAAGGGGTGGGCACAGTGGTTTACTGCAGGGATGGGGGAACCCCGTGCTGAATTCCTTCTGTTACAAGCCTGACAGGAGTAGTCACAGCAGCATCACTACTCCTGTCAGCCCAGCACTGGGAGCAGGGTTGCGCATCCCCTGCGCAGATCCCCTAAGCTTGCGCATCATGAACGGTGGGGGAGGGAGAGCACAGCTTGGCATCTTTGCGCTGGGTGCTGGAAGACCTTGTTCCAGCACTGCCGGTCACTAGGGGTTAATGCACTTTGTCCTTTCATTTTAAAAGGAAGACTAATAATTTTTTCAATCAGCTTACTGTAATTTTTTATTTTTTTTTTTTTTTTTAATATGTTTTTTGTATTTTTGTTTTACAATTAAAAATGTAATAGCAGAGTATTCCCAGAGCACTATGAGTTATATAAGGAGACCATGAAGTTACTTACCTCGAGGCTCTCTAATGGAGGAAAAAAAAAAAACGTGCTGAGCACCCGCTCTTCTTAAAAATATAAAATATTAACCCCTCGCGCCTACCAGGCACTTACACCCCCTTATTTACCAGGCCAATTTTCAGCTTTCAGCGCTGCCGCACTTTGATTGACAATTGCGCGGAGTCATGCAACATTGTACCCATATGAAAATTTTGATCATTTTTTTTCTCACAAATAGAGCTTTCTTTTGGTGGTATTAATCGCCACTGGGCGCTTAACTTTTTGCGCTATAAATTAAAAAAGTGCAAAAAATTTGAAAAAAAAAAAAAAGTTTTCTTTTGTTTCTATTATAAAATTTTTCAAACAGGTATTTTTTCTCCTGCACTGATGGGCACTGATAGGCGGCACTAAAGGGCAATGATAGGCAGTACTAAAGAGGCACTGATAGGCAGTACTAATGAGGCGGCACGGATAGGCGGCACTAATATGCAGCACTGATAGGCGGCACTGATAGGTGACACTGATGATGGGTACTGATAGACGGCACTGACTGGCATCACTGCTGGGCACTGACTGGCGGCACTGACTGGCACAACCCCTGGGCACTGACTGGTGGCAGACTGGCAGCACTGCTGGGCGGCACTGGTGGGTGGCACTGGTGGGCAGCACTGGTGGGTGGGCACAGGTGGTGGTGGCAAGGCACTGGTGGGCACAGGTGGGTGGGCACAGGTGGGTGGCACTGCTGAGCACAGGTAGGTGGCACTTCTGGGCACAGGTGTGTGACACTGCAGAGTGGCACAGGTGGGTGCACTGCTGGGCACAGGTGGGTGATCTGCTGATGGGCTGCTGGGCACAGGTGGGCGGAAAACTTGCGGGTGGCATTGCTGGGCACCGATCATCAGGGCACTGATCATCAGTGACCCTGATGATCGGTGCCGATCCCCGCTCTGACAACTGCCGGTTCTCGGCAGTACTTTCCTCACGATCTGACAGCGTGAGGAAAGTGCAGCCGAGAACTGGCACTTGCATTTCCCTCTGATCAGCGTGTCATTGGACACCGCTGATCACGTGGTAAAAGGCCGGTATGATTGGCCTGTTACCACATCACGTGATCAGCTGTGTCCGTAGGACACAGCGATCACGGAGATCGCCGGGTGTGCGCGCCCCTGGGGCGCGCAGGAGAGCGCGTTCTGGGAGGACGTCATATGACGTCCACTCAGAACTGGCCGGCCGCAGTTTAGCCGTCATTCGGCTATCTGCGGTCGGCAACTAGTTAATATACTATTTTTTACATTTAGGTAAATTAAGAAAAAAAAATAAACAGAATAAACAAAAAATATTATCCCTTTTTAAAAGTATTTTTTTCATTATGGCGGCCTTTTTTGTACAATTTCATTTTGTGTTTTTTCCAGCTCCTGGCTCCGCTGCTCTCCCGCTATCTGAAGGCTCTCTCGGGAATTGTGGACAGCAACGTTAATTGTGGGCCCATTCTGAACTGGATGGAGGTAAGATACAGAGGATGTAGTCCCCAACGGAGTCTGGGAGGTTCACCCTTCCGGTGTTGTCCTGGTAACCATTGTCACTCAGAACAGAAATTGATGGGAAATCCAAAAATTGTCACCAAAACAGGAGGCGATGTTAAATTTTTCAATGGGGACACCTCACTTTGAGAGATTTGTTTTCACTTTCTGTTGTCTCTGGAATGGGAAATGAAAGAAAATTTGGCCAATGGGAAAAAAAAAACTCTTCCCACTGTGCGCTTCAGCATGCGCTGACCCCGCCCTGTCATGTGACGTGGCCTACCACTTGGTGGCTGAGTGGCTGTTGTTCCCAGTTGCTTCCACTTTGTTATAATCCCACTAACAGTTGAGCGTGGAATATTTAGTAGCCAGGAAATGTCACGGATGGACTTAGGTGGTCACCTGGGCAATATCACGGGACCACGCTTGGAGTCACGGAGCTCCTGAGAGCGACCCATTCTTTCACCAATGTTTGTAGAAGCAGTCTGGATGCCTAGGGGCTTGATTGTATACACCTGTGTCCATGGAGGGGATTGGAACAACACCTGAATCACATGATATGGAGGGGATTGGAACACCTGAATCACATGATATGGAGGGGATTGGAACACCTGAATCACATGATTGGAGGGGATTGGAACACCTGAATCACATGATTTGGAGGGTATTGGAACACCTGAATCACATGATTATGGAGGGATTGGAACACCTGAATCACATGATATGGAGGGGATTGGAACACCTGAATCACATGATATGGAGGGGATTGGAACACCTGAATCACATGATATGGAGGGGATTGGAACACCTGAATCACATGATATGGAGGGGATTGGAACACCTGAATCACATGATTTGGAGGGGATTGGAACACCTGAATCACATGATTTGGAGGGGATTGGAACACCTGAATCACATGATATGGAGGGGATTGGAGCACCTGAATCGCATGATATGGAGGGGATTGGAATACCTGAGTCGCATGATATGGAGGGGATTGGAACACCTGAATCACATGATATGGAGGGGATTGGAGCACCTGAATCGCATGATATGGAGGGGATTGGAATACCTGAGTCGCATGATATGGAGGGGATTGGAAACACCTGAAAATCACATGATATGGAGGGGATTGGAACACCTGAATCACATGATATGGAGGGGATTGGAAAACACCTGAATCAGATGATATGGGAGGGATTGGAGCACCTGAATCAGATGATATGGAGGGGATTGGAGCACCTGAATCAGATGATATGGAGGGGATTGGAGCACCTGAATCAGATGATATGGAGGGGATTGGAGCACCTGAATCAGATGATATGGAGGGGATTGGAGCACCTGAATCAGATGATATGGAGGGGATTGGAGCACCTGAATCAGATGATATGGAGGGGATTGGAGCACCTGAATCAGATGATATGGAGGGGATTGGAGCACCTGAATCACATGATGTGGGAGGGGATTGGAGCACCTGAATCAAATGATATGGAGGGGATTGAAAACACCTGAATCACATGATTGGGAGGGGAATGGAGCACCTGAATCACATGATTGGGAGGGGATTGGAGCACCTGAATCACATGATTGGGAGGGGATTGGAGCACCTGAATGATTGGGGGGGGATTGGAAACCCTAATCACATATATGGGAGGGCGGGGCCAATACTTTTGGCAATATATGTATTAAACAAATGATCTTTGCTTTGTTAAACCCCCAACATACTCCAAAATAAATTTTTTTTTTTTTTTTTTTTTTAAACTTTTTTTTCTCTCTCCAGATTGATAACAGGGGAACCGCCTACTTGTTTGACGAAGAGGCTCCATAACGCCCAAAAGCCATTGCCGGGGGCCACTTATTAAGAGATAATCCCCAAGGGCTCCCGAGACTGTCCTTTGGGTAAGCTCAATGCGCTGCATGGTTTTGGGTTTGTAAGAGAAATTTCCGGGGTTGAGCCAGAGAGAAACAAATCCCCCCGACATAATTTGTCCCTGTTTATCTGCGTCTTCTCTTCTCTACGCCATTCAAAGTGACCTTTACACAGGGCCTCTCCGCTTGACAAGCAGGGGGCAGGGGAATGAAGTTACATCATGATAAGAGCTCTGAGAGCTGTTTTGGAGGGGAAGGGACCACCCCCCTTCAAAAGGGGAAAAGAGCTTGAGGCTGTCAATCTGTTGGAGTCCCTCCCCTGTCACCTTTTTCTCTTGGGGTCAGGAAAACTTTTCTGCAGTGACTCATCGATAGAGGAAGGGGCACAACAGAAATGACACTTAGTGTTGGACTGAGACAAGTACAAAACTATAAAGGGAGTGCTTTTTTTCTTTCCTTTTTTAGGGTTTTCAACCACTTTAAACATAGTCCCCGATTCTTGGGTTTAAACCCGGCCTTGACTTGTTCTCTTTAACCCCCTTGGGGGCTGGGGCCTTTTCCCGGGCCCTTTTAAAGGTTTCGAAGCCTGGAAGGGGGCGGGGTTTAGGCCCTGTGCCCCGTGACACCCTACGCGGTACATGACGGGAAAGGTCCCATCGAAAGGGAGATCGGGACCTTTCAGAGTACCGGGGGAAGGGTGCGGGATGGGGAGGGCGCCACGCTGTCAGCACAAAAATTTTTTT